GCGATCTCCATCAATATTAAAAGTTCAGAGGAGACTGAGACTTTGCTACACAGATTCCTGTCGACATTCTTCCTTGTCAACCACATCATAAATGCTTTCATATATGCATTTATGGATGAAGTATTTTCAGGAAAGTTGAAAAAAGTGTTAATTTGCTGTGAAAATTCTGAATCGATACAATCAAATCTCAGTGAAAGAAACACACGTGATACCAACGAAACAAACGTGTAATCTATCTTTGTTTTGTATACTCATCGACAACATTAAGATCTTTATATCACTCTTTTTGGCATAAATTGTTTTTATTCTAATTATAAACTTATGATGATGTAAAGTTTTCTATGTTATAGTAGTGTTGAGATTTCAGATTTATATGCTTTTTAGCGCTTTCAAATTGAAACATTCCAATTTAAGGCTACAAAAATCAAAAACAAAATTATTAAAACAATGGAACATTTTTATATGAGATAACTACTGCTTCTTAACCTAGTCTGTTCATTGAAGTGTAAAGCAGTTTGGTTTTCTTTTATATTGCATGTGATGCTTATATTTCATTGTATGAACCATACCAGGAATTTAATTGTTAGTTGAGAACTTTTGCAAGTGAGGATCAGGTCAATACTGCACCCCATGCAGCCGTTACTTGTTTTAATCATGATTGTATATTGATTTTAATTGTACATGCCCCTTGAGGGCCCTTAATTGGTGAATAAACATTATATACATATAGAGCAAAATTTGTAAAATTTCAGTATTAATTTTACAGAAAAGTGAACAGGTACATATATACAGTAAAACCTCTACTTAATTGGATAGGAAAAAACATGAAGCTATCAACGCGTTCGAAATATTGAGGTTAAAATACATAAGTAAAAAGTGTTGGGGACCTCAGACTCGCTTAGGCATAGAATGTACGCACGGTATTCAAATATGGACATTCAATTATATTTGAGAACATAAAAAATTAGGGATGTCAATTTTATCAATAATTTATATTCGAATATCCAATGAAAGTATTAGAAAATATTCAAATATTCGTTAAATCTGAGTTATTATTGTATAAATATTGCATGTAGTTGAGTGTAACATTGAAAATTTTCACCCCAAGAAAACCATTGTCAACCGAGGCGCAGCCGAGGTTGACAATGGTTATCGAAGGGTGAAAATTTTCAATGTTACACTCAACTATATGCAGTATCTATTATATTGAATGTTTTATACAAATACATATAACAGTAAACCTTACGCGTATAAATTCTGCGCAGTCACTATTTTTTTGAATATCGCCCATCGTCAAGCAATGTTGACTGTTGCTACGATGGAGGGCGTGGCTTCATCATTCAGCGGGCAATAGTGTTTTTTAACAAATGCTTCTCGACGAATCAGATTCAACTAATTTACATGAAAGTATAAATCATCATCACCCTACTGTCATGACAAGTTTTGCGTCGGTATTTGAAAGTTACATTGGATGTGGACTGTTATGTGCAATTAATAGTTCTTTATTTGATATATGTCATTGTTTGAATTAAATAATTGAATAAAGTGTTACCAACCAAAATATTACTTGAACAAATGATATCTTTATACAGAAACTCACGCCTCAACTGAATAACAAATTTAGGAGTACATGTATACACAACCCTAGATAATCAGTAATTGACGCATTTATTCTAAAATTGTGCCATTAAAAAAAAAAAAAACAACTTTTGTCTAATACTTTAAAGAATTTTTGTATAATTCTTTTTACCTTAAGAAAACGAAATAATTTAGCAGCAGAAATATAAGATAAGAAAGTAGTGCAAGAAATCAGGCGAACAAACTTGATCACTATAGTAAATAAAACAGGAATGATTCGGATCCACTAATTAAAATTTATTAACCATAGTTATCTTTTTTTTTGGTAAAAAACATCGACTCTTAAATTCATATTCGAATATCAACTCATCGAATGAATATTCGAATGATCGATTTATCAATTTTGATAAAAAATTGTGATTTCAAATTAATTTTCTGATTAACACCGCTTCTCGAATTATTTGTACAGAACAAATTGATCGCGTAATCTGTTTAATTCTGTTTACTTTTGAATTAATGAAGACAGAAGGATAGATTGTTTTTATATTGCCCCTGAACCGTTTAATGCGAGATTTCGACTCTCATGACTCTAGCTCATCTGGTATTTTTTATCTATTCTGACAAATTGTCAAAGTCTTCTTTTTCAAAATAAACTTGTAATAAATAAAAGTTATAACCTTCATGAAATCATTGAATAGAATAAAAAATGTTATTAAGTTTTAAAAATTCAAGAATATAAATGTCATGACAGACCCGTACAACGTAGGGGACGGGGCTCCACCAATTTTTTGAGTATTTAGTTATAGTAAATTTTCCTTTAGATGCTGGTCCCCCCTTTTATTGCTGTAAGGCCGAGCACTGGAAAATTCAAGGATTTGAACAGTTAATGAATTTCTTTTTGCATGTCAGATTATTCTAGGAAGCCCCCCCCCCCCCGCCCCCAACACACTACATTACTTTACTTTTTGGTTAGTTAATTTATTTATTTTTGTTTGTCAATTGGTGGGGGGGGGGGGGGGGGAGTTAGCCTACCACTTTTGAAATCCTTAGTTTAAAATATATTTATTCATTACAAATGAAATGGATTGAACAGCAGGCATATTGCCTATAATCGTTCTCTCCATAGGTCAAGGTACATATAACAATTATTGGTACATTTAACATTGAAAAACAGTATGTAAAATAGATCATTATAATTGGTACATATATAAGGTGAATCCAGAAAAAGAGAGAGTAAAATCAAGAGAAAAAAAACATAATATAGTACATTTAACATTGAAAAGCAGTATATAAAATAAACCATTAACTGGTACATGTATAAAGTGAATCCACAGGGATTGAGAGAGAGAGAGAGAGAGAGTAAATAGAGAGAAAGAAAGACCATAAAAAAACATAATAAAGTTGACTCAGAGTGGAAAAATTTCCTTAGCATACCTAAAATGGGATATTATTCTTCCTAGCATATCATGATAAACTAAGATTTCAGTGAAAACCTCTTTGAGTTTCTTATACAGATAAGTACATGATCAAAAAATGAAAAATTGTCTTCTAAACATAAGGGCTCGGCACCATATACTATATTATCTATATTAATTGGTATGTCATTCTCATTCATATATTTAATCAGCATCTGTCTTTGAAGAACATATTGTGGGCAATACATGAAAAAATGTAATGAATCTTCAGTTTGGTATCCACAATTTGTACATTTTGGTGAATCGTTAAGGTGGTCTTTAAAAAGATCAGCATTAAGGTTACTACATTTATTTCTCAACTGGCAATGTAGTATATTTTCAATTCTATTCCCATAATTGTACAACTTGACTTTATTTTTCTGAATGGGATTGGTGAAGGTTAATTTTTTGTTGTTGAAATTTTGCAATGTAGGGGAGGTTCTACAATCATCAGGTAAATTATTCCATAAGGATATTGTGGATGGTTCAAAACTATTATAGTAAGACACTGTTCGAGTGATTGGGATACGGTATGAGATTGGGTTGCGTAAATTATAATTATGCTGAATTGGCAAACATTCTTCGAGCATATTATACATGTAATCAGGGGTAAGGTTATTAAGAATTTTATACATCAGTGTGAGCTTATGTTTTTCCCTTCTTGAACTTAAGGTTTCCCAACTCATTATATAGGTTAGTTTTGGATGTATTGCACCTTATGCCTGTAATTATTCTTGCAGCTTCCACCTGAACACTTTCCAGTAATTTGGATTGTTCTTCAGTGCAATTATCCCATACCACATCCCCATATTCTACAACTGGTCGAACAAATGATAGATATATTTTGATTAACAAGTCCCTTTTTAATTTATATTTAAGTGTACGCAATATATTTAGTCGTAAGCAAGCTTTCTCAAAAATTGTTGTAATATGTTCGGACCACCCCCCATTAGACTGTAATGTCAACCCTAGATGACAGTGACTTTGATTCCTTGCCACGGACCTGCAAGATGCATTTCACTCAGGTATATTTCACGAAGAACGTAAGCCTTGGCGCCTGAGTAACAATTTTCAGATCAAATTTTCACAAGCCTCTAACGCTGAAATACAGTATTGATCTTAACTTTCTATGTATTAATTTCACTCTACCATACAAAATTTGACAAACTGTGGGATTTATTTCCTTTTTTATTTTCAGCAGCGCTGTCTGACTGCTATATTATTGCATTTAAACAGTGAAAAGCATTTATTGTAAATTCAAGTATTCGAGTTTTGCCCCTTATAATCATGATGAAGGTGAAAATATATCTTTTTCCTTCCATTTTAAGAGAATCCAGTTCTACAAGGATGCGTAATATAAAATTAGCTATTTACAATTAAAAAATATTTTTAAGATGTTTAGAATCTACTTCTAAATACAATGCAGTAGTATCTCTTAAAGACTCTGAATACCGGTTTCCGAAAATTTTGATAAACTATGGATTAGGGAAAAGAAATTCTTTGTAAATGAGATTGGAAGTTTAAATAATTTTGACAATGAGCGTTCGAACGACAAATTATAAATCGATAAATGTGGTAAACACCACGCGAAAATGCCCCCTTTTGTAATCTATGTACCGTACACGTAGATTTAAATTGTAACTCATTCTGACAAACAAGGTACCTGTTCGTACATGAAAGACAAAGGCTTAAGGATTTACAATGGCGGCTAAGCATTAAAGGTATCCAGACAATGGAATAAAAACAAGGTAATGTACACACTGTAGTTGTATATCAGGTCAAATTTAATTTAATTTAAGCCTTTGATTTAACTAATTTAGTAAACTCTAAACAACAGTTTTGAAAATAAACAAACCGTTACCGTTAATGAAATAATTTTTTGACATGTTTGATTACAAAATAGACATCTGAATATCAACGTGTAAATTTGGTGTATATGCATGTTATATGATTTTTTGTTCATTCAGGATGACACAGCGCGTTGTACAGAACATAGAAAACGACTATCTCATCTGCAGTATCTGCTTGGGACGCTATACTGACCCCCGAATACTTCCCTGTGGACATACGTTCTGTAGACAATGTCTCTCCGATTACATTCAGCAAACAGTCCTTAGTCCTAATACACGAACTTTGAAATGTCCCATAGATCGGGGCTTCGTCAGCGGGCCGGGATCAAATATACACACCCGGGAATGGGCCTCTTCTTTCCCAGTGGACCAGTTTGCCTTAAATCTTCTCTCCATCGTCAACGAACAAGAACGAAGCGGGAATCAGGTATCTACAGATAACCTACCAATCAATCGAGGGCCTGGGCCTCCCCCCTCCGGGACTTCTCCCAATTTCCAGACATGCTCTGTCCATAATGGACGCTTAATGGAGTACTTTTGTATTGGATGCAATGAACTTGTCTGTGCTCAATGTGCAATCGATAATCACAGAACACGAAGGTGTGATTGTCTTTCTTTTGAAGATGCAGTTACTAGACTTCAGCCAAAGGCAAATTCTTTACATGTTCGATTTCAAAATTTAATTTTTCGTGCTCAACAGTTAGTACAATATGGTTCACCAGAGCACAACAGTTTACAACAAGCCAAAAGTAGAGCAATGGAAAGTTTAACAGATATAGAATCAAATATAAACCGTTTCTCACAAATATGTTTTCAAAATGTGGAAGACTTACGTCAAGAAATCGCTTTTGCAGGACAAGAATTGCCCTCGGAATCACGTCAGCTAGCGGTGCTTTATGATAAAATACAAGACACAAAACTAACATTTGATAATATTCTGAGCACGAATTCGACTCTAGATATCCTTAACACATATCGAAGAATAGAGTCACAAGCAAATGAATATGATCGCTCCTTAGCTTCCACCACACAAAGAAACCCTCGATATATCGAAATGTCCGATCATACCACCTTCTCTCGATTTCTAAATAATCCTCCGCCATTGGCCTCGCTAAAAGTCAAATATCCAAACAGAAGAGAACATCAACAAAATACAATCTCAGGCAATGATGACGTAGAATTCACAGCAGTGTTATCGCCTTCAACAATACCTTCCCAAAACCAAAACTCTGGTAATCATAGGATATTAACCTCAACAGTGCGAGGACAGAGATCAACTCGAAACCATCCTGGTCAGACTCGAAGCAAAAGTAAATCTGTAATTAATGTCAAAAATCCACAAGAAGACACCACAACGTGGCATTTGAATGGAATAGTCTTCATAGGGTATCATGTGCTAGTCATTGATTCATACAATAACATGTTACGAAAATGTAGCATTGCAGGAACGTTCACCACTCATGAAACTTTGCCCATAGAAGGACCAACGAGTATCACATTAATGGATAACCCGACAGAGGTAGCAATATCCCAGCCTGAGAAAAAACAAATTGTTATAATTAGTACCGACCAGGAACTAGCGATAAAGGAAACGATTCGAACAAATAAACCGTATGATGTTATTTGCTTACACCAAAGGACAAACTTTGTTACATGCAGTTTTAGAGGAGCCAAATGTATTGATATCATCAACAGAGTCGGTCGTGTTCAGATCTCGATAGAAAGGTCTCGGATTTTACGTGACCCTCGGTATCTCACAGTGACACGTGAAGGCTTAATTGTAGTCAGTGATAATGAATTACGTCGCGTGATATGCATGAATTCAGAAGGACAGGTACAATGGACGCACACTCCGAATGGGTCACCTTGGGGTGTGGCTTCTGATAAAATGGGCAAAATCTACGTTTGTTTGGATAACAATGATGTTCAAACACTTTCAGATGATGGACATGTGATTGAAGAGAAATTCTTGTCTGCAAGAGATGGGATAAAGATGCCATATGCTATTTGTGTTAGATCACGGCAACTTGCAATTACCGAGTTCGGGTCCAGTTTATTCACTCCAAACAGTCCTTGGGTTCACATCATATCAGTTTAGCTGAAGGGCGGAATGGTGCTATTTGTCAGTCATTTTCTTCCAGCTTTTAATTTAAGAAGACATATTATTAAACATGACATTGCAATCGATGTGATATTAAAGACTGAGTAAACAAGGAATTTGAAAAAGAAAATTGTCCTGACATAGAGAAACGCCAACTTAACTTCTATCTACAATATTTACCCATCAAATTAAACTTATCTTTTTGATATTACGTAATATATTACTTGGCAAACATTTACATTTATTCTCACAACCAATTGATGATGTTTTCATTCTAAATTGCATATCAATTTCTTTATCTAGGGGATAAATTGCTAGAAGGTTTATGTTCTAATTGGTACGTTGTGTTGTGATTCCTCATTGAATGCAGATTAATACGAAGAATAGGCAAAAGGCGGCATCTTTGTAGTTAAATACAATGTATTATGCAAGTAATGATAAGCATATATAAAATGTTATATAAAAATAAGAAGTATTTTCTTCTAATTGTGGAAGTTGAAAATATTTGATGTAGGAGAATGAGTAAAAAATGACTACAAAGTATTTCTAGAGGTTGTTTCTAATAACACATCGTGTTATGGCTACTAAGTATATGAAGTGTTTATCATTACATTGTAGGGACCCTGTGGAATGAATTGACTTTTATTATCTCTTTTTTGATATTCAGGTTCTATCATCGTTAGGTCATTGCTTTAATATATTGCTTACTGTTCGTTATTTCCATATTTCACTAAATTTTACCTTGGAATACTCCTTTTACATGATTAATACATAGGGCTCGCGGTGGGTTTGACGGGTTAACAGGGGATGCTTACTCCTCCTAGGCACTTAATCCATTTCTGCTGTTTCAAGGGTCCGATTTCTTGCCTCTTTCATGATTTGTTTTGTATATATGAGATTGGTCATTGTTCATTATCTAAGCCTCTTACATATTAGAGAAGTTTTGTTGGCATATAAAATATAGTTTTCCTTCCAAATCTGTGTTAACTATCAGTGTTTATTACATGATATAATGAACAATATCCAGAGTCATGAGTCTCTTTCAGCAAGTTACATCATATTAAAAGTACAATTTCCTCAATTTCTTTATCCAGAACACTTCGACTTGCCTACAAATGTTAACACAGTGATTACCTCAATTCAATAATAAACAAGTTCTGTCAAAACTGTAAGCTACAGAAAATGACAGAGCTGTACCTTTTCTTTCAGTAATAGAATAATTTATAAATCAGTAAACTTAAGTTTTGCAAAAATAAAAAAAAATCCATTTTACTACAATGGCAGTAATAAAAATTTATGTGATTACAATTACATGATTGTATTCTGTAAGTATTCTACATCAAACAAACAAAACCCCCAAATCCCCAAATAACCATGATAGATAGAAAAAATGAATATTATGAATATTAAAAGGTTAGCAGAAAAATAAGAAAATGAAAAAGACAGCTTTATTGTCAATGTATTGATTAAAAATTATACAATTGAACTATTTAAAATGGTATTTTACAAAATATTAAGCAGTAGCAAGGGGTGCTTACTCCTCCTTGGCACCTGATCACCTCTGATGTTTTTAGAGGTCCGTATTTGCTCTGCTCCCTATTTGTATTGTTTCAATGGACTTTTGAGCTTGATAACTGTTCGTTATCTTAATATTTCATCGTTCTTAGAGCATGCTCTTAGGTACTACATCAGTTAGGAGACATATACACCTTAAATATACAGGTGATTGTGGGATATTACTACATGAATGAAAAGAAAAACATCCCATATGATTTAGTTGTTATTAGGTCATTAATGTCTGTAGTCAGTAGAACATCCATGCATGAAGCAGATGTGGCAGCTCTGAGAAGTTTTTTATATTGATTTTACGGTATCCATCAAGTTGACATATGAATGAAATAAGTATTGTTAATTGATAAACCATTTTCAATGCATCGAAATATTGAATTGAAAGTGATAATTTGTTCAAAAGAAGAAAAATTATTTGGAAACAGCTTAGATTTTCTTCTTGGCCAAACATATATTGATACTTACAGTAATAAAAATTAAAATCTTGCTAAATACCGGGACGAAAACAATGCATGGGCGTGCACACAACACCCTTTACAGAAATGGATTTAGTTATAAGCAGAATTTAAAGCATCAAATATGGTCACTTTTGATAGAAAGACTCTGAAATCCCCTCACAATGGCTCCAGTCATGCTTGATATGTCGATGTAAGTTTGGAATTAATTTGAATATATTCTTGAAAAGTAGTTTTATACTTTACAATATAAAAATTTTAGCTTCAAGGGCATAGTCATACGTATGCACAGTCCATATCACTTCAAAACTTCATATCAACCTAAAGAATAAATATTTTTTGAGTTATTCATCTTTGCTGATTTCTTAATTTAAAAATCAATCTGATGAAATGTCCATAGACTTTTAATAAACCAGATTCCCCTTATAATACAATCAAATCTTTCTTTTCTCAAAACATATAATCCTATTCGGCTAACTTCTCGTGACATTTTTTTTTTTTGGAAATCCACAGACAGGGATGAACAAATAACCTTCTGACTCCCTTGGCGGAGGTAATTTAATATTTTACAAGGGGAATTTCTTTTTAGTCGTAGTTTTCTGCGCATGCGTGAGGAAGGGAGGCAGCTTTAAAAAATCAGAGAAAGTTTTCAGGAATTTAATACAATATACATCGTGGTTTATACATGAGATTACCTGGATTAGTTGTTTAAATGTGTAGTTATGTATGTGGAAATTTATCTAAGACAGAGTACTGAGAAATGCCGAGGTAAAGAAAAAATAAAACAGTGAACACAAGCGGTGAAAGGAAACAGAAAGTCCACGTGAGTAATACTCAGTCATTGTTTGTTCCAAGTATTCATGATATGGAGAGTCAAATGAGTAATAGTAATAGCAGTATCAGCCTCAATGCACAGCATTCAACACCAACGGCAATGGCACCCTCGCCTTCTGTAAACTTTCAGAGCAGTTGTCAAGGAAATAATTTTCAAGGAAACCAATTCGTTCCTTATGGGCCTCCGGGGCCACAAAGTCAATTTGCTGGGTATTTATCACCAATACCAAACCCTCAACAACAGCAACAGCAGTATCAGCATGTTGATATTCTTGAGACTTTGAAAGTTATGTCGAATAAATTAGAACAAGTATCAACTAAGCTAAACAAATTAGACCACATTGAAAAGAGACTCAATGAACTGGAACGAAATGCCGTAAATGTCAACACAGAGTTAAAAGAGATGAAGGTCAAGGTTAACGGTGTAGAGGAGTGTGTGACACATATCAGTAAACAATACGATGACCAAACGAGGGAAGTTAAAGAAATGAAAAAATCTGTAAGTAACATAAGAAATGAAAATGAAGTTATCTTGAATGAATTAGAAATAGTGAGGCATAAATTCGAGGATTTGAACGAACGCCATTTAGATCTACAAACTAGATCTATGAGAGACAATCTCATATTCAGTGGTATACCGGAGACACAAGACGAAAACACAGAGGAGGTACTGAAAGAGTTCATAAGCTCAGAAATGAATATCACAGAAGCTCCACAGTTCCATAGGGTACACCGAATGGGGAAGAGATTAACGGATAAACACAGACCAATCGTCGCAAAGTTTGTGCTGCATAAAGAAAGAGAAAAAATAAGAAAGGCCGCCCCATCAACCCTAGAGGGAAAAGCATTTGGAGTGAATGAGCAATTCCCCAAGGAAATTAACGAGCGCAGGAAAGTCCTATACCCTCACTACAAAAAAGCAAAAAAACTTGGAAAGAAGGCTGTGATGATTGTGGACAAACTTTTCGTAGAAGGTAAACAAATCTTTCCACCAGCAGGTAGATTTGTGGCTGATCCAGGTTCCGATAATGTTCCGATGTAGGTAAACCACGGAGAGCAACAACAAATAATAGAAAATGAAATTAAAAACTTTTCAAGTAACTCTCTCAAACCAGAAGACGCATCTAGAGTAAGATTGATATCCATTAATGTATGTGGGTTAAATTCAAAACTCCAATCTCCTGATTTTCTTGATTTTATAAATAAATATGATATAGTGTGCCTTACAGAAACAAGAACAGATAAAGCTGACATAATCGACATTCCTAATTTTAGTGCATTTTGTAAGCATAGAACAAATTTGTCATTTCGGGAATCTGGTGGAATAGTTGTGTATATTAGAAATTCAATTGCTAAAACCTGTAATATTATTAATAATGAATGTGACAATGTACTTTGGGTCCGAATAGAAGGTAAAACATTTGGGATCGATGATCATTTATTAATAGGTACAGTCTATATACCACCTGTAAACTCCAGATTTTCATCTAGTGAAATATTTGAAGAGATTGAAAATGAAATTTTTAATCTATCTACAGAGAATAAAGGTATTTGCTTACTTGGTGACTTTAACAGTAGAGTCTCAAATCTGAAAGAATTTAATGATTGTGATGAACCTTTTGTTCAAACCCATGATCGTGTGTCTGATACTGATTTTAATTGGGCTGTTGATCAAATCGATATAAGATGTCTTGAAAAATATGGTTTTTCAATGGTAAGAAATTCAAGAGATATGATTGTAAACCAGTATGGGAAAAAACTTATTGATATTTGCAAACATTGTAATATTTTTATTCTCAATGGTAGATCCAAGGGTGACCCAAATGGTGAATGTACATGTAAACAAACTAGTGTTGTAGACTATTGTATTGCAAATTTTGAATTTTTAAGATATGTTTCTGATTTTAGAATATTAACATTCTCTACCCTATTATCTGATGTTCATAATCCTGTGGAGGTTTTACTAGCCTTTGAAAAAGAACACGCTTCTAAATTAAATAACCCACAAAAACAAACACAAGAGATTGCTAAAAATTGGATTCCTGAGAAGCAAGAAACATTTCATTACTTTATAAAAGACAAAATAAATGCTATCACACTATTAGAACATGAAATCAGGAACACTATAGCAGGAAAAGTCACATCAGATTTTATAGATAACGTTGTCGAAAGAATAAGTGACATATTGGTATTAAG